TTGGCATCACCCCTGCACTGTCAACCTTTGCTGTGGAAGTGTGTTGTGAAAGGCAGGGGGGGACTCTTGCTGCCCTCGGCAGAAAGATAATGCAGTAGAGTGTTAAACAGCCAAGTAGTCCTGGCCTGGGACTGTCACAGTGCTCATAAGCTGGGCAAGGGCCAAGGGAAAGGGCAAGCCTGCCTCGTGCCAGCTGGCACTGCAGGAGTAAGAGGTTTGTCCCAGTGAGCTTGGCAGTGAGATGCTCTTGGCTGAGGCACTCTTGCTGAACAGGGCAGCATCTCAGCTGATCCTGCCATGTCCCGCACGGGGAGCCAGCAGACTTTGCACACTGGTCCTGACGGTTGCCCGTCCCCACAGTTCTCTGGGGAGATCCTCTCCAGAGGAGCAGAGGAAAGCTCAGTTTCTCTTTCAAAGCAAGCATAAAAGCGTCTGGCCAAAGCACTGGTGTCATGGTTTAACCCCAGCCAGCATCTAAGCACTATGCAGCCGCTCCATCATTCCCCCTCCTCAAATGGACAGGGAAGAGAAAATATAACAAAAGGCTTGTGGGTTGACATAAGGACAGGGAGAAATCACTCAAACAATTACTGTCATGGGCAAAACAGACTCGACTTGGGGAAAATTAACTTATTGCCGATCAAACCAGAGTAGGGTAATGAGAAATAAAACCAAATCTTAAAACACCTTCCCCCCACCCCTCCCTTCTTCCTGGGCACAACTTCACACCTAACTCCACCAGCAGCGCAGGGGGACGGGGAATGAGGGTTGGGGTCAGTTCATCACACATTGTCTCTGCCGTTCCTTCCTCTTCAGGGGGAGGACTCCTCACTCTTCCCCAGCTTCAGCGTGGGGTCCCTCCCATGGGAGACAGTTCTCCATGAGCTTCTCCAACGTGCATCCTTCCCACAGGCTGCAGTTCTTCATGAACTGCTCCAGCGTGGGTCCCTTCCATGGGGTGCAGTCCTTCAGGAACAGACTGCTCCAGCATGGGTCCCCCGTGGGGTCACAAGTCCTGCCAGAAAACCTGCTCCAGTGTGGGCTCCTCTCTCCAGAGATCCGCAGGTCCTGCCAGGAGCCTGCTCCAGTGCAGGCTTCCCATGGGGTCACAGCCTCCTTCAGGCATCCCCCTGCTCCGGTGTGGGGTCCTCCCCGGGCTGCAGGTGGATATCTGCTCCCCCGTGGACCTCCCTGGGCTGCAGGGGGACAGCCTGCCTCACCATGGTCTTCACCACAGGCTGCAGGGGAATCTCTGCTCTGGCACCTGGAGCATCTCCTCCCCCTCCTTCTTCACTGACCTTAGTGTCTGCAGGGTTGTTTCTCTTACATGTTCTCACTCCTCTCTCCAGCTGCAGTTTCTGTCCCACAGCAACTTTTTTTTCCCTTCTTAAATCTTGTTATCCCAGAGGCACTGCCCCCGTCGCTGATGGGCTCAGTCTTGGCCAGCAGCGGGCCTGTCTTGGAGCCGGCTGGCATTGGCTCTGTCAGACACAGGGGAAGCTTCTAGCAGCTTCTCACAGAAGCCACCCCTATAACGCCCCCCCGCTATCAAAACTTTGCCATGCAAAGCCAATACAACTGGGCACACAGCTGCACTCCCAGCCTGGGAAGGAGCCAGGACTGGCTATCAGAGCGGGCCAGCACCAGGGCAGGGGGATGTAGGAGGATGTAACTTGTCTTGTCCTCCTCCATCAGGCAGAGAGTGCCAGGACCAAACCAGTGGCTCTGATGATGACTGCAAAGGCCATGGATCAGGACAGCCAGGTGAGCAGACACATGTGCCTAACATCTGACCCTTCTCTGGCCCAAACAAAGCAACACAGGGACATCTCCCTTCAGGGGCCTCCTCCACACCAGGAATGAGGCATTGCAGTCTAGGGCCCGTGAGTACAAGAGGTGATTTGTCCTGTCTGTTGTGGCATCCCAGGTGAGGACATTTCCCCAGTGCTGTGTTCCCCAAGGCATTTGGAAGGGGCTGGGGCATTTGCTACTATCCTTCCCTGGTCCTGCAGCCCCTTACTTGCCCGGTGTGGGCTTTGATCTTACTCTCACACAGGTTTCTGGAGCAGAGCATCTCAGCAGTGCAGACCCCAGCCTGGTGCTTCACTTGGACCTGAGCTCCATGTCTGGCTGAAGGTCCTGCATGGTTCACAGGACAGCGCTCTCCAAACCAAAGCTAAGCCACTACCTGCAGCACTGGAGAGCCTTGGACATAAGACTAAACCAGCCACTCCGGCATGGGAGAAGTCATGCTAACAGCAGCCTGGGAGCTTCTGAATTTCAGTGGTGTTTGCTGGTATCTGGTATCTGGGCTCAGTGCCTTTATTGCCAGCCTCAATAAGTATGGGGCAAAATCCACCCTTGGATCATGAGGTTGCAGGCAGTCAATACTGGCCTTGCAGTGGGGAGAGTTGGTCAGGAGTGACCAGGCTAAGGGTGCAAGTCTTGGTTTTGGGAATAAAGAAAATGGAGCAGGGTGTCTCTCCTCCTTCACCACAACAGCCCCAGCAACTGCAGATGCTAGAAGAGTCCTTGGTGGGGAGGGGAACTGAATCAGGTCCTCGAGGACTCTGGATTCAGGGGAGACTCCGGAGCTGAGGCAGTACCTGGCCCCTGGAGCTGGGAGGAACTGGGAAGACCCATGGTCTCATGACTGCAGTGGATGCCTCTGGGTTTCTTTGGGGACCACAGAGGATGCAGACTGGATCGATGAGGGCTTTCAGTGCTTCACAGAGGTCAGCAGCAAGGGGAGAACTGTGGGAACAATTATGGTAATTCCTGGGCTCTTTATGTGTAGTCTAGTATTAATTCAATATTAAAGTGATGAGCACACTTCTCTGAATTCTTCTCCAGCTTCTCCAGCACAGGTGCAGCCTCACAGTCCGCTTTCACAAGGCCACATCCATCTGCCCAGGGTTGCCACCACATCCCGGCTCTCAGGGGCACAAGGGAGGCTGCGGAGGAGCCCTGGGGCAGCGGTGCTGGCTGCTCAACACCAGGGCGGTAGGGCTGTAGGGAAGCCTTGTAACCTGAGCTTTGGTTTCTCCCAGGCTCCAGGGTGAAATTGTACCTCTCCCCCAAGCACTTGGTTCTGCTGTGGAGGGGGGCGGGAGCCTGTATCTGAGCCTCTATCTGCCCAGCCCAGAGAGCTGGGATGATTTCCTAGAAGGCACCTGGCCTTTGCGCCTCCCACCATCTCATCTTTCAGGCAGGCTCAATTCCAGGCAGCTATTGCAGGTCTGAGAGCTTGAGGCTGAGAGTTGGGTCTGCCGTGAAGGTGTTTCCTCCATTGCACGTGGTTTTAGTGCCACTGGGTTTGTCTGCTAAGCCCCGGGGAAGGGAAGGGTCCTGCTCAAGAGGACCAAAAGCATTAACACAGGGCTAATGCTCAATGTTATCGGTTGTCCATCCAGGTGTCAGCAGAAGACACACAGAGGACGGCATATGGGAGCTTAGCCCTAAGCAGGGCTTGGCTGGAGCTCAGTTCTGAGATGTGCCCTGTGGATACACAGCCTGACCCAGTCCCTCTGGGAGAGGCACAGTGCACACAGGCACATCTCTACCCATGAAACAGGTCTTTCTGGCACCTCCTAAAAGTGGTTTAACACATGCAGGTCTGCAGTAGGAGGGAGAACTTGTTGGAACAAGTGGTTGTCATGAGTGCCACCTCCTAAAGGGCTGCCCAGGACCCACTGTCTGGGGCCACAAAGAGGAATTAGTCACCCTTCAGGAGATATGGGTGACCAAGGATGAGAGAGGCTGAGATCCAGTGCAAGAGGATTTCTATTCAGCTGATCTAGGAAACACGCAGCCTAATCTGAGTCTGCTGGATAACCTTGGGCAGTCGAGTTGCCTCTCCGGGCTTCGTGGTTCCTCCCTGCAAAATGGGGCTGATATTCCCCTCTTGAGTGAAATGCCTGGAGCCCTGCAGATGCAGGAACTGCCACCGTGCTACCACCAAGACTTTCAGCGACGTGAGTCTTCCAGGGCAGTTGAAACTATTTTTGAATCGACATATTGTACAATTTTTCTGGCCCCTTTAATAAACCAGAGCCATCCACCCCCAGTTACCCTTCACAGACCCCTCACTAAAGGAGCCAAAGAGGTGCTGTCAGATGCAGGGTGATTACCACAGGTTTATTCTGGAGGTTAAAAACTCTTTGTATTTTTAGTCTGTGCCTTCCTTAGTGATGGTGATGATAACTTGAGAACATCTCTGTTCCCTGCAAGTGAATCTGCCCTTTGGCACACTGAAGTTGCACAAGGCATCTTAAGCAAACAAAGAAGAGGCCTTTAGCCATTGTTGGGAGCGATTTTACAAAGCCTCTCATTTGCATGCACCAAGCAATGTTCCTCTTGTGAAAATACTTTGCTGGCTTTGTTCCTCTTCTCCGGTACACAGTAGTTTCTTTTTTAGATTCCTGTGTGCTCCCCAAGGGCAGCATGTCCAGGTAACCAGGGATGCCCAACCGTTTACCTCATCACACCACCTTGCCCAAAAAACTAACCAGCACAACAGAGGCGTTTCTGGTTTTCCTCTGCCTTTCTCGTTGCCTGTGCAAAGTTCCCTGGGCACGGACAGGGACAGCGCCGGTGCCGGACACGGATGAGGCACCGCCGGTGCACCAAACCACGCCGTGCCAATGTGATTTGAACTTGAGCTGGGCTTGAGCCGACCCGCATGGGGATGAACTTGAGCTGTGCCCAGCTGAGCCATGCTGTGCTGATCCGAACGGGACCTAGCTGAGCCCAGCCGAGCCAAACTGCGCTGCCCGAACCGAGCCCAACCAGACCCGAGCCGAGCCGAACCGAGCTGTGCCAAGCCGCTTCCTTTCGGGCCGTGCTGATGCGGACAGAACCCAGCCCAGCCCTGCCGGACCCGGCCTAGCTGGGCTCCCCCCCCTCCCCGAAGCCGGGCCGTGCCAAGGCGGAGCGGGGGCGGTGCGGGGGGCGGTGCGGGGGGCGGTGCGGGGCCGCCCCGGAGAACCGGGGGCCGCGCCCGCTGCCCAGCCCGGCTCAGCGCAGCATGTTGCGCACGGTGGTTCGCGTTTCTCGGCTCTGCCGCGGCCCGGCCCGGCTCGGTTCGCCCTTCTCGGCCGCCGCCGCCTCCTCCGCCATCCCGGCGCCCAACCCCCGTCCCGATATCGCCTTCAACAAGGTAGGGCCGCGCCGGGGGCCGGCGCCGGCCGCGTCCCCGCGGCGGGTGAGCGCGTCCCGGCCGCTGCCCGCGGGCAGCCCCGCTTGGCAGCTGCGGTGGCTTCCCCGGGAGCGAGCTGGGCTGGGACGGGGGCCCTGGGGCTCCCCGGCTCGG